TTATTGAAAGCTCTGATACGAGAAACGAAAGGGTCAGGACAATTTTACGACAATTTAGAACACTCTGGTAACCGATAAACTCGCATTTGAACGGGATAAAGACAAAAAAAAAGTGTCTCACGCGCTTCTATGCTAAAACGATGGGAATACGAGGTCTCGGATTGAACATTTAGTTGACATGGAAATCACAGATGACACAGGATGTCCCTCTGCAACCAATCAGAGCCTCAGAAAACATGAATCCAGAGGATTTCTGGAGTTTTATTTCGATTTCTTAATAATTATTCTACGAAAACGACAGGTGGAGTATGCCATTTGGTGCAATACCCAATATAATTCGACACAGCTGTCAGTATAAAAACAAACTTCGGCAACGTAGGTATTTAGAAAAACCTTCTTTACCGACGTCGATCAAGTTCCTCGACGTGTATCACTTAACCTTAATCCCGTGAAGATTGCCAGGACGAGATCGTCCTGGGGAAGATCTGTGCAATCTCGGAAGAGTCGGAAGCCCGTCGACGGACCCGACGCTCCTAAAACCATCCGTGCCTCTCCAAGAGCTAGTCTACGAGCTCGAGAAGATCCTCTCCAGTTCCCGTGGGATCTTCGCCGACCTCCGCAGGAAAGCGACCTCTCTCTCCGCGTTCCCCGGATTGGTGAATCCGAGGGAACGCGAGGTATGCGGATATTTTTACACCAGGAGGCCCTGGTGGGGGAGTTACCCTCGCCCGGAGCACCCACGCGCCTCGGGCCGTCGGATCCGGGGAAGCCGCGGCGGCCAACCCAGAAGATGAAGAGACGCAGCATCCACCGAGTGGACCGCCGCCCGTCGGGCCAGAGGATGGGCCGAACGGACCCCACGACGTATGGCTCCTCCTCACGTTACGCTATCTAAAAATACTACCGACACCGAGCCTAGATACCTAGATAGTGCTCTACGAATAGGTAGCCGGTAGGTAGTCAAGCGTGGTTGGCCGCGATGACGATTAGTCAACGATAACCGCGACGAGTCGAATACTTTATACCCTCGAGCTACTCCGAAGACGTCACCCCGAGTTTGGACTCGAATAACGACGACACTTTGAAGGATTAACGCGGCATATATACGATTTGATGAGCAAAACGATCTAAATAACAACAATTCCAATAAGGCGGATAACGCGCGGTTGGTGCGTTGGTTCGCTATCAAAGAAAAAAAAAATATTGTAATTTTATCGCATGTTTCTTAAGATATATTCGGACACGGTGCGCTAACTTTGCATCGTTTTAGATGCATATTCTATAAACATGCGTTGTAAATCTAGCACGTAAGAGTATTAACTTTGCAAAAGTATAACGCAACGTTCCGAAGGATAAGCTACTCCGAAGACGTCACCCCGAGTTTGGACTCGAATAACGACGACATTTTGAAGGAAGGATTAACGCGGCATATATACGATTTGACGAGCAAAACGATCTAAATAACAACAATTCCAATAAGGCGGATAACGCGCGGTTGGTGCGTTGGTTCGCTATCAAAGAAAAAAAAAATATTGTAATTTTATCGCATGTTTCTTAAGATATATTCGGACACGGTGCGCTAACTTTGCATCGTTTTAGATGCATATTCTATAAACATGCGTTGTAAATCTAGCGCGTAAGAGTATTAACTTTGCAAAAGTATAACGTAACGTTCCGAAGGATAAGCTACTCCGAAGACGTCACCCCGAGTTTGGACTCTAATAACGACGACATTTTGAAGAAAGGATTAACGCGGCATATATACGATTTGACGAGCAAAACGATCTAAATAATGACAATTCTAATAACTCGAATAACGCGCAGTTGGTGGGTTGGTTCGTTATTAAAGAAAAAAAAAAATATTGTAATTTTATCGCATGTTTCTTAAGATATATTCGAACACGGTGCGCTAACTTTCCAACGTTTTAGATGCATATTCTATAAACATGCGTTGTAAATCTAGCAAGTAAGAGTATTAACTTTGCAAAAGTGTAACGTTCCGAAGGATAAATCCGTGAATAGTTTTAACGGTGGACGCGCAGGTAACTCGATCTCGCGTTTGTAGTCTGCGTTCACTCGCAAGAAAAACTCGAGTTACAATAAAAATGAGCCGAGTTGGCTCGAAAACGTGCTCGACTCGAGTCGAAATATACGACTCGTTGCATCCCTATAACCGAGCCGCGACACCCATCGGGAAGAGCGATCTGGCACGCCGCAGGAGAGGCGCGACGCCGTCGTCGGGACGGCCGAGCCAAGAGTAGGAACCCGCCCTTCTTTTCAACCTTTCCCTCCACCGAGTCATTTATTTCGTTCGCACGGGAGAGGCGACAGGCTTGGCGACACCCGCCGCTGGGATTAGACATTAAGGTCGCCGCTTTGACGACGCGATGGGAGTCTCTCGAGGAAATTATGCGCCGTGACGTAAGGGGCCTCCGAAGCCAGCCCTGTTAAATATAACCCGGCCCGAAAACGACCAACTTGGAAAAGCCCTAAAGCTAACATAATCCTGTTCCGCTGTTATGACGCGAGAGTTATCGCACCTATCGAATCCACGGCGGAAGGAGGATATATGTATATATCCTAACTTTGTGCACGTTGACGACAAGACGGCTTGTTGTATATAGTTGTTCCAAAAGTATCCGAAGAAATTCTTAAAGGTTAAAAAATAATCCATTTTTCTGTGACGAAACGATCCACGTATTAATTGATAATGGATTCTCCCTGTTGAATCGGGTGTACCGAACCGATTCAAAATTCAGAACATAAATATGGAGGGTATAAGGAAGGTCCTGACACTTCTGAAATTTCATTTTTTTAATTTTAATACCCATTAAAATTTTTTTTTAATTTAAATTTCATGACTTTCAGGACCTTCCTTATACCCTCCATATTTATATTCTGAGGTTTTAATCGGTACACCCAGCCTGGAGACAAGTTTCATAAACGAGACCTCCTTGACGCCACTTTCACATCACCTTAAGCATGGAATTATTTCCAACGAAAATTCGCTACGCAAAAAATATTGCAAACTTATGGAACAACAATCGTCTAGTATAGGAAACGAACGGATAAAGTTTCGAGAATATCGCCACGTTTTTTTGCGCGAAGACAGTCAGTATATTTCATGTCAAAGAAGTGAAATCGGTTTCTAATTTCAGGGGAAAAATGGTTTCCCTCTCTTTTATATGCTTCGTGTCAGGAAGATGACAGACTTCGCGTCGAAGGTGGGACGGGCGAACGCAAATGACGCGCGAATGAAACGTCAGAGTAGGCCGGGATGCTATTTAAATTTTATGTCTGTTGGAATCCAAGAGGAAACGAAGTCGAAATAGCAGGGCCGTTCAGAGAACTAGACTCAACCCAAGAAATATACGTATGCCATCGTTACAATCCGCTTTACCAATAAATATAAAAACACCTCTAAATTCCTTCGCGATTATCTAGCCTACGTCTGCACGCCAAATTAACTCCAGAAATTATTCACAAATGCTAGAAAAATTTCCAAATTCTCTTTCATGCGACCCACGGCCTTCAATTTCCCATCCCATGATCGAACGATAAACGGACCACTTATCGAAAGTTCATCTTTTAATTAGAGTACTATCAGCGTTATTAAACTCAATTACAATGACTTAAAATACCCTTGCTCAGTTTTTCAGTTAATCGTAGTTGATATCGAAGGTGAAACTTAACCCTGCTCGACAGATCAAATATCGTGGAAGTCACCGGTGCCCGACAACTTTATAATGGTAATTTTTTCGTCATTTGTGTGGAAACCAACGTGTTTCCCGTGTTTTATGAGTTACCGTCATCCGTTCTAAACTCGTTCCCAAATGTTTACTTTCCCTTGCCATTCACCTCCTCATGAGATAACCTTTTTTTTTTCCCGCGGAAGACCTCTCCAGTCATTTGTGTTATCATCCCGGACTCGACTCGTTCTCTCTAATTCTTTTGTTCGCCCGTGCTTAATCATTCCTGCCAATGTCTTCTTGGAGATGATACGGCAAGAAAAATTCTCACGTAAAATTCTCCGAGGAATCGTAGCCACTCTTCCCGAACGATCAAGTGGAACTTCCCACATTTTCCTTGCTTATGCTAGACCTGTTGTCAAATACCGTCCTCTTCGATAACAGACCAATAAAACGCTGATTTCCGACTACTCGAGTAGAATTTCCTGCAGGATTTCTCCTCAATCTTCAATATTGCCCTCTTTAGTAGCAGTCCATCAAAACGTTGGATTCCGATTCCTGTTTACCCTATGTTTAACTATCGTCAAATACCATCCCTTTAGTGACGGACTAATAAAACACCAGATTCTTATTATCCAAGGACACCATCCTGTATCTACTCTCTCCCGTGCCTACCCTATCGTTAAATATGATCCACTTAATTAACGTGCCAACGAAACGCCTAATTCCGATTCCCCGGGGACAAGATCCTAATTTTCCTTTTTCCCTTCCTCATAGTTTCGCCGAATACCACTCTTCGGTAACAGGAGAAGCTGTAGAATTTTGTCAGAAATCAGGAATTCCCCGAGGGGTTACCATGACAGGTCCTGCCCTATCGTTAAATACGATCCACTTAATTAACGTGCCAACGAAACGCCTAATTCCGATTCCCCGGGGAAAAGTTCCTAATTTTTCTTTTTCCCTTGCTCATAGTTTCGCCGAATACTACTCTTCGGTAACAGGAGAAGCTGTAGAATTTTGTCAGAAATCAGGAATTCCCCGAGGGGTTACCATGACAGGTCCTGCCCGACCGACGCGCTCACGACCCCGTCCGACCTACGAAGAAGTGGAGGAAGTCGCGACAACGTCAGGCCGATCGCCGCCGCAGGTTGTCCCGCCGCCGGCTGCCGCGGTCCCGACTTCCAAGATGGCGTCCGCTTGCACTCGCGAGCGCACACTCGCCCTCGGGCGCACTTCGCTCACACTGTGCACCCCCCTCGCCGGGCGGCGAGGCGCGCGACTCACTGGCGGAGCTCTTCCTCTCGAACTTACTTGAAGGAAGTCTTCCTCGAACCTCGTGAACACTCCCTCCGTCTCGCTGGGCTTCCCGTAAGGTATCCCTCCGGTCCTCGTAAGTCGCGCTAACGCGTCGATTCTTCGATTTCTCGGCGAGTGTCGTCGGCGCACTCGTCGCTCTTCGCCCGTCCCGATCGTTGGGGCCCCGCGCGCGAACTAACCGAACGCCCGAGCGAAGCTCTCCTCGCTTCGAACCTGCCGCCCTCTCGCGGCCGATCGGCCGAGCTTGCGCGCCCCCCACCCCGCCGACCCACGCGACACCCACGACCAGTCGGCGGCGACGAGGACCGACTGTCCATATGCGACACGTCCGTCCGTTTTTCCGTTTTTTACTCGCCCCCTTAAGATGTCGGAAAAAGGGTCGAGCTTTTAACGAGCAAAGACCTCGCGCGGATCGGCCATTTTCCCTAAGTGCTCCTGTCTCCGCGATGCCGTTGGAGCGTTCCACAAATTTGTGGGGGAATTATTTACCGGCGAGTATTTATTGGAGATAATTCCAGGATTAATTATAACTGCCGGGAGCGTGGCTAGATGCGATCGACTCGAGGATTTATCAAGATACTTCAACAGATAGCGTGAATATAGTTCGAATGTTCTCTACGTATACGCAGTAAGAACATTCGAAGAAGTATAGAGTCAAAGGGTATCTTTCCGTCTAACCTCCTCCTCCTTTAATTAAACCCTTCACTTGATCGAAGAACACGAGTAAGTGAAATTAAATTCGGATCGTTCAACCAAAACATGTTATGAAATTAACCAAACGCAGTTAAGAAAACAACTGTGTTCAAAGAATAACATTTTCGTCTGCGTAAGTGGCAGTGAGCTGCTGAATTTACATGATGTGATATGAAGTTTGCAGATAGTATGTAAAAATGAGACAAAATCCACTTTCCAGCCGAGCTTTTTATCCATGTCGACTGTGTTCAGGATCCAAGTTCAGGTAAATTATCCTCGGAACGGACTCTAACATCGTCAACGCAATTCCCTCCCACAATCTTCTTTCCATAACCGCGCCAAATGATATTTCGCGTCACCGAGATGCAACGATTAAGCAGCCATTTTTAAAAAGCATTTCTTTAAACTTATATGTGCCCATAATTATGAAAGTGGTCTAAGTCAAAATTAAAAAAAAAAAAATGAGTTTATCAGTTATTTCACGCCATATTATTTCAAACGAAATTAATTCAATGTAAATTCGAAACAAAAAATATATGACTTAGACCACTGTCATAATTATGGGCACATATATCCTTAGAGCTTTCCAATATGGCGCCGAGGTCCGTCGAACTGGTTGCAACCACGCCAAAGTACGTTCCCCGGAAGCCTTAACCTAGAGGATAAAAATCGCTGGGCTTATCGCTGACAGGTTGGATTACGGAAGGTGTACAGAGGATTAGCGTACATCAACGAGGTGGACGATACGTTTTATTCCACGCTGGTCGTTCCAGTTCGCTCGTTTCGATGCAGATCCGGTGCACGTCGGGTTTCCCGATTTAAGCGCAGAAAGGACCATCTCGTGGCCCGTTCCGTCGACGTCGTCGCTCGGTTTCGTGGGTTTCGCTTTCCACAGGCACCGACGAGGGTCGCCTCACGGAAATAGAAGGCATTGGAACAATCGCCGGTGTTTTTCTCCGTGGGTCGAGCTACGCGGTCCGAGAAATAAACCCCGAGCGCCGGCGGAATTTCGTATTCTCATTTATAGAACTAACCTAAACTAACCTTAGGTACCAACGACTGTTCCCAGCCCACGCGAATTCTAATTGCACCTTAACCCGTAACTAGCCAACAATGCCAAAGTTCGGGATTACTCATCGCGAACCACGCGGACTCGGATGTGACCGGATGTGCACCAACTCGGGAGGTCGTTACGAAACAAAATGGCCGCCTGTTGGCCAATCAGGACGCGGAAGCTTCTAGGTCTATGTCGGGGTACTGAGCGCGGAGCGTCGACAGGTCAGGGTTCGAAGTTCACGGCCGATATTCCTCTTTCCTCCTTAATGGGAGATCTCGGAGCTTGAATTTCGTCTTGTTCACGGCTGGTGAACCTTCTCGCGTGAAAATCATCCGAAAATCTCGGATTATCGCCGACTGGCGGGGGAGAACTTCCGCGAGGTGGAGCTCGAAATGGTATCTGGCAAGCAGGATACTTTTCTAAATATACTCGATCACACCTCGCTCGTGAATATTCTCTCGTGTATTAATGGCAGCCCGGTCTGCATCGATTTTGGGAAATATCCCTAAGTTACTAGGCCTCTAACGAGGTTAAGGTTCGATAGTGTTGGGGTGATCAATAATTTCTACAACTGTACGGCTTTGTGGGATCCTCTTTTTTTATTTAATTGCAAAAATATATGTATTATCCATAATCTCAAATCTCAAAAGCGTAGCCATTAACTAATTGCAATGAATCGTCGGGACAAAATCGTCATAGTAATTTTTTTTTAACACTTGGGACGAAATTCCCCGTTTTTTCTATGTTTTTCGTCTTCTTTCAACCCGTCACGTATCCCACATCTAAAGTAGAAGAGACGTCGTTACTGGGTCACCGAGATTCTTCAAGTCTCTTCGAGAAAAATATTGTTGCGCAGTGTACGGACTGTAAATAAAACCGAATAACTTGCAGACACAAATACCGACGTGAGTCAGCGCAGTCAGGGAATTCATTGTCACGTGTAGATTCGTCATTTTAATGGTCAATTATATATACGATGATTCTTATATTCTTGCAGGGTATTGCTGGCTTTCGTCTTAATTTAGCCAAAGTCGAACTGAGTGCTTCGAAAAGAGAAGATTAATTTTAACTTGCCAGTTGAATAATATCTGTGTAGTTAGGTGAAGTCTTGGTATTATTGAGCGAACGTTGCCAAATCAATTCTAAATATCGCATCGATGCATCAGCTTTCATTGCTCATCCTTTCTACATATATCGTTATGCATACATATCACCCGTCCGTGTGCACCTTTTTTTACCGATAAGTACATCATCACCAAATTTGGTTGTCGCTTTGAAAATCTATTAACTATCATTCTTAACCGTGAATCAAAAACTATTTTTATAGAATACTAAAAATAATATTTATACCTTAAAATTGAATATTTTCCTGCACATGCTACACCGATCACATCTCCATTATGTATATGTTATGGGAAACGCGATAAATTGAAAAATGTGCGCCAAATAGTGCACAAAATTAACGTGTTATTATGATTTATTTTAAATCTCTGAATCATTACCTTTCTAGAATTATATAAAACTTCTGGGCTGAACATTGCCAAAGTGCAACAAAGTTTAACATTTTCCTCAATTATTTAAGCTACTTGGCATCGCCTGTCTGCCAAATTCCCTCGGATACATTTGGCAAAAAACAATGGCAAAGGTGCAGAATCAAGGGACGATTTTATCAATTGCATGTAAATACTTTTATCATCCGCCAATCCCAAGTCTATATCATTCATTGAAGTTCATTGTTATTTACACATTTTTTTTGTGTTGATCAGAAATTATGACATACATGCATGTAAATACCTTAGCTACAAATTAGGGTAGAAAATAAACAATCTAAGGCATCGTGCACCGATAGGTATATCTATTATCTCGTTAATCGGCGTTATTACGACAAACCAAGGAATGGGATCATTTACGAACTTCTCTCATCGACCTCTTCGTGACGTAGCCATCCAGCAGAGGGAAAAACGGTATCCACTTACCCGCGAAAACTGCTAAAGATTCTCGAGGTAAGCTCGGAATATTTTTAGTCCGCATCGTTTTTAGCCCGTCGCAAAAGAAATCGCGGTTTCGTGTTCGTGATCGTTCCACGTTAACTCGCGGTTCCATGAATATAATGTTAACGGATTAAACTTACCCCGTACCTATCAAATTTGCAGGCGTCCGTCATCCGCAAAAGATTTAATGGCCACGTTTCTGATCTACCATCCAAAAAAGCGTGTCTCTTCTAAAAGAGATAAATTCCAGGCTATTTATTGTGAACAGCTGGTTAAACAAATATAGTGCCACTGTCGAATTATATTAACATGATAAGCCAGCGCATTATGAAAGGGTAGAGGGAAGATTCCTAGCACCGGATACTAGGATTATCTGCAATACTAGAATTGCGACAAAGCAATGCAAGTACGAAGGAGGAGGGGAGACCCCCCCCCCAAAAAAAAATATGTGCGCGTTTCGAGACACTCGATGCATAAAACAATGCATTTTTTTATGCAATGAAAACCGTAGCGATACCTTCTATCCCACTTGGAGAATCCAAAAATCACACCTTTTCGACGCTATGACAATAGGTTGTTCATCCCAGCCTGAAACCGTGGTATCAGACATTTTAGAAGAGAGTAATTATCGCAATTTTCACATTCGTGATTTTTAACGGCACCTATTGTTGCTTTATAAAAGGCTGTCCCATTTTAAGAATTCAAAGATCCCTCGCTCATTTCGTCGTCAACGCTATATGTGCCCATAATTATGAAAGTGGTCTAAGTCATATATTTTTTGTTTCGAAATTACATTGAATTAATTTCGTTTGAAATAATATGGCGTGAAATAACTGATAAACTCATTTTTTTTTTAATTTTGACTTAGACCCCTTTCATAATTATGGGCACATATCACGTTTTTCATCCAAGCCCGAAATCGTGGCATTGGATATTAAAAGAAATTCGGATTATAATATTTTTCAAGTATACAATTTGTAACGACACATCGCATAGTTGCTTTATGAAAGGTTATTTCCATTTCAAGAATCCAAAAACCACAACCTCTTTTTGGCGTTACAACATTAGCCGACATCCGAACTCTATGCCGTGGGGTGAAACTTTCAGAAGGGACGAATGTCGCATTTTTCAATTTTTAACGGCATACGGAGTTGCCGTTCGGCATTGCACGATGGTAGCTGGTTAAATAAATAACGCATTGCGCCATTGTCTGAATTAATGTTGCAAGAGCGTGGCAATAAACCAGTGCACTCAAAAGCGTCGAGCCGGGCGGGCCGCGAGATGCGCAACTAGGCCAGGGTGACCGAGTGCTCGATCGTCGATTCGATTATTGGCTCCTAAACGGGTTAAATCGGGCCCTCTTCGCATCGTTGATCGCTAATAAACTCGACGGCAGATTTAACGGGCTCTTTAGATATTTCT